TATTTCTAGGGGAGAGAGAGAGAGAGAGAGACAGCGTGAGCAGGGGAGGGTCAGAGAGAGAGGGAGTCACAGACTGAAACAGGCTCCAGGCTCTGAGCTGGCAGTCAGCACAGAGCCTGACGCAGGGCTCGAACCCATGAACCGTGAGACCATGACCTAAGCGAAAGTCGGATGCTTAACCGACTAAGCCACCCAGGCGCCCCTCAACCATGATCTTACTCACACTTTGGTGACAACCCATGTGGGGTTATAGAAGCCTGACCATTTTGCCCGATTCGGGGCGATTCTCAAGGGCATTGGCCAAGACTGTCTGTCACTGGACCTGCACCACAGCTGGACCTCTCCTTCCTTCCAGCTTTGCTCTCTTCCTTTCCCTTCTGTACGAATTGGTCCCCAGGATACTCTTGCATTGGGTATTCAGGGCACCAAATCTGCAACAGGAATCAAGTATGGGGAAAAGAAATTAGATTTGGAAACCACTTCCTCTAAAGGAGAGGTCAAAGCTCTTGACATTCTTATGAGGATCTGACGCAGATGAAACCTCCCCTTCGCAGGCTAAGTGGATAGATCATTCAAAGAACTGTAATAAGCTTTCAGGAGGGCCCTGCAAGTGCATTTCAGAAACTTCTTTGTCCTCAAGACAGCTAAGCTGGCAGTACCCATCCCTGTAAGGGGAGAGGGAAAGAGCCTACCTCTGCTCAAGTCAACCAGTGGTGCTTGCTGGCTCTTAGAATTTGTGCTGTGTGATTCCACCTCTCTTTGAAGCTGCACTTGAGATGAAAATAATCCCATCAGAATTTCTGACTCATTTCTTGTAGGTTGTAGATTTGTGTTGTGCCATCTTCCGTTAAGTAAGGCAAAGGAGGCAAGCCCCTCTTGTCTACATTTGTTTTAGGCTGGCTCATCAGCCCCAGAGGCCCCAGGCTTTCTTGGCTTCAATATGTCTCTCTTCAAATGTGCTTGTACCACTGAAGAGGAAGCAGATTTCTTCCCTTTGGAAGGCAGCTGGCAGTTTTGTTCTGTTTTTTCTTTCCCCCATAAAGAAGTTGGCAGAACTATGCCAAGATGCAATGGACTGAATGTTTGTGCTCCCCTCACCCCCAATTTCTATGTTGAGAGCTACTTCCCAAATGTGATGGCATGAGGAGGTGGGGCCTTTGGGAAGTGATCAAGTGATGAGGGTGGGACCCCATGAGTGGGTCGATGTGCTTATAAAAGGGAACTCACAGCACTGTCTTGCCCTCTTTCTGCCATGTGAGGCCAGCCCAGAAGAGGGCCCTCACTAGAACCTGACCATGCCAGCACCTTGATCTTGGATGTCCAGCCTCCAGAGCTGTAAGAAATAAATCTCTGTTGTTTATAAGCTACCCCATCTGTGGTACTTTGTTATAGCTCCCTGAGCTAAGGCACTAGAGAAGGTTCTTTTTGTTCCATTTGCACACGGCAGTCAGACTGCCTAGGTGCATACACACAAAGCTTCGGGGCATCCAGATTGCAGCAGGAAGGAGATCTTAATATTAACTGATGCCTTTCCTTCCAGGAGCTCCTTCTTTGACTCTCTTCTCCTTAATATTTCTACCCCTTCCCCTTACCAATTTCTTTCTGGCTTTCTCAATCCATTGCCCCCAAGAAAGGAATGTGTACCTCAAAGCCTCTGAGAATGGGAGAAACAACCTAGATTTGGGCCAAAAATGTGAGTTAATGTTTCCAAGACCAGAAAGGGATCCCAGGCTAGGAAACAAGCAGGAATCCAGGAGAGCTTAGGTATTGATTCCCCCCAGTCCCTCTGCTTGAATGTGGAGGGAGGTGAGTAGTCAAAACAATCACCGAAAAGGTTTAGGGGACACATGAAGCAGGGTGTATTAGTGTGTTCAGGTTGCCATATAGAAATACTACAGACTGGGTGGCTTAAACAACAGAAATTTATCTCTCACAGTTCAGGGGACTGAAAGTCCAAGATCAAGGTGCTGGCCAATTTGGCTCCTGGTGAGAGTTCTCCTGCTAGCTTGCGGATGGCTACCTTCTCACTGTGTCCTCATAGGGTGGAACGGGAGAGCTGTCTTGTATTTCTTTTTTTAAATGATTTTTAAAATGTTTATTTACTTTTGAGAGAGAGAGAAACAGTGCGAGTGGGGGAAGAGCAGAAAGAGGGAAACATTTAAGCGGGCTCCAGGCTCTGAGCCCAACACAGGGATCAAACCCACAAACTGTGAGATCATAACCTGAGCCAAAGCTGGGTGCTCAACTGACTAAGCCACCCCGGTGCCCCTCTTGTATTTCTTTTTATAAGAACACTAATAATATTGGTGCTTAACCTTAATTTGCCTAATGTAACTCTAACTACTTCTTTACTCCGAATACAGCCACAGTGGGGGGGGGGAGGGAGGGTAGGACTTCAACATATGAATTTGGAGGGTGGGGAGACAACTCTGCCCATAGCCCAGGAACAGGTTGCTCTCAAGAAAGAGGGACACACACAGAGAGAGAGATAGAGACAGATGAGGGAGAAAGCAAGCAGAATGGTTACAAGATCCTGCTAAACAGTGCATCGAGGCAAGCAGGGATGTTTGCTCTGGCCCAACACAGCACCAGAGGAGCTGAGTGGTTCTCATGTGCCTGGAAATCTCACCAGAGATAGCTGGTACAGCCAGACCAAGAGGACCATTGCAAGTAGGAGGAAGGGATGATATAGTACTAGCAGAGAATGAGATGGAAGGATGCACACGAGGAGCTGCCTGCATGGACAGAAGACCAAATGCTTCTTCCGCCTCATCCAACTAATCCCAACATTCTACCAGAAATGTAGACAAAACTCTGGTGAAAGAAGATGGATCTGAAAACCTGGCAGAATGTGGGCTCATATTAAAATCAAGGTAAAATACAGAACTAGAACTCCTCTTATACATATTCTTTAAAATAACCGTATTTCCTTTATCAGGTAGAGAATCCACCAGAGTCTTGGTCAGATTCTCTTTTCTGGTCTGATTGGATTATATGGATCAGTGACAACAGCTGATTTACTTCCTTAAAAACGGTGCAAATGAGAAACTTTCTTCCAATAGTTTGAACCTCATTACTTACTTCAGACTCATCAAGATTCTTGGTTCTTCTTGTAGTTATTCTGAGTGATTGAAATACATTGAAACTTTGTGTTTTCAATAAATAAAAGTATATGCTATTTCTTATCTGTCAATTCAATTCAAGAACTAATGCAAATAGCGAGTTCTCTTTTTGCACCAGCCATTGTTCTAGGTGCTTGAGGATACATCAGTGTACAAAACAAGCTAAAATCCCTGTGTTGTGGAAATAAAAATTCATTACAGTCATACCGGAATTCTATTTTTTGTCATCATGCATTTTACCAATTCAATAAAACTAAAAACATAATTATCATCATGTGAATGTTCAGGAAGAACTTTGCTATTGAAAATGAGTCTTCATACTGGACCTATTTGGAAACTACTGTTTATTTTATTTCATTGTGGGGAGGGGGGAGTAGAGGGAGAGAAAGAATCTTAAGCAGGCTCTACACTCCGAATCGAGCCAGAGTGTGGCTTGATCTCATGACTCTGGGATCATGACTTAAGCCAAAATCAAGAGTCCTTGGCTCAACCTACTGGGCCACCCAGGCGCCCCACCACTGATACTTTTTAAATACATGATCGCAAGAACACAGTACATTAGGTAAAGGAGGGATTTGTGAGTAGACAAGTCCAACCCAGGACTGACAATATCTGGATCATAGAGGAAATATTGGGAAATCTCTGTTGGGTAATCCTACTCATACATCACATAGCTCAGTGTAAAATGTAATTACTACTTCAGTGAATTACGATTATAATTCTATTAATGAGAATTACGAAGAACCTCAGGCACATGGTTGGAAGCAAGGAGATGGATTACTTTATCTGTTTACTCTTTGACTCTGAGACTGTGTTTCCTTCCAAAGCACTTACAGGAGTGACTGATTGGTTTAAAAGGGAGCAGTCACATTTGATCTATAACTTCAGTGTTCCAGGATCCCCAGGGAAGAGTCACTCATTCAACTTACTGCTCGTCTGTATGATAGCTTGTTAGACCAAAAGATCCATATTCCAAGAAATTAAGTGTCAGGAAGGTAGTGTTTGGTCCTTTTCGTCACTTCCTTACCTTCACAAGAGCAAGAACTCACGTCGTTACCATCGGTAATTCTTCCAGGTCCTCAGAAGGGTATGTGGTGAGGAATAATAGTGGCCTCTCCATATGCCAGCCGAGCTAAATGAAGGTGTAGAATGAAGGTGGTTTAAGGACACATAACGTTCTGCACTGCTCTTCGCACCTCATTCCTCTTGCCACCCCATCCCCTGGGTATGAGTACCACTTTCCCGCTCGCTTCCCCTCCCGCACGCCTCCACCTAGACCGCAAACTTGTCGAGGCCACCGAACTACACTTCCCACAATGCTATGCGCCGGCTGGCCTCGCGTGAGGTTTCTCCTAGGCTGCCGTTGTAATTAATTTTGAATTAAAGCCACATTTCCTGGGAACAGCTGAGTTACTGTCCTCTTCTCCGTTAAGAAAACTCTTTTCCCCTCCACCTACTATATCCAGTGTTTGGCGGAGAAGTCTCTGCGGCGAGAAATTCATTTAGGCGACTGCTATGGCCACCCATTTCCTCTTCGAGCTTCGGCCCCTGCCAGGTCCCCGGGGCCCTGGGAGTGTCATTGGTGGATGACCGCAGCTCTTGCCGTTGCCGCTGTCACTGCGACCATGGCCTCTGGCAGCAGCTGCCTGGCAGCCGCCCGCCTCCTGTCGCGCTCCTTCCTCCGTGAGTCCTGCCGAGACTCTCCCTCCGACCTCCGAGAGTTCCTGGCCTCGCTGGGCCCAACATCCCAGTCCAGGACGTGGCTGGGCCCTCCGGGGCTGGGCCTCAGAGGGGGCCTAGGAGCCGCGGGAGTGCGGCCCCAAGTCGGGGACCTCCTGGGGCGGAAGGAGCTTTGCTGGATTTGTGGGGTGGCGGGGAGTGACTTGGGCGGCTGGCCTAAGTAGGGTGGCCGAGCCAGGATTCGGGTTTGGGAGCCCTGCAGACCTGCGGGCATGCTCTAGCGCCCGCGATGATGAATACCCGCATGGGGGCGGCATCTAGACTGCCCCTATATGGGTGTGAGAGGTGAGGTGGTCCTGGATGAACTGAGCTGGGAGAGTGAGTGTTTATAGACTGAGAGGTAGGGGGAGGAAGGTCTCAGTAGCAAATTGGGGAGAGCGAGTAAGGCTATGCCTTGTTTTCTTTCTGTAGATTGTAGACTTAGCAGAAAGCTGGTATCTTAGCCAACAGTTTGCAGTGTCTCCACCAGGCGGTGTGGACTCCTCAGTTCCTGAAAAATTAACACCCAAGGTTGCTAGTCTTTGCGTAATGCTGACTTGAAAATTCTTGCTATGTTCAAAGTCTCTGTGTTAGACTGGCTGTATGGGAAGAGACTTTGGAATCAGCCGTATCACATTTGAAGTCTGGTTAGTCCCTTACAGTCTGTGTAATAACCCTGGGCACTTTTCTGAATCTGCTTCTCAAGTTCTGTTTCCAATCCCATCAAAATAATTTAGTGAATCTGAGACATCATCACTTGTAAGGCGCACCATTATTTTGTCTACTATTAACAGTAGAAAATGATTGCTAATTAAAATTGTGTCATGCCATTAGTTGTCAGATGCATCCAGATTTAAAAGATGTTAAAAAGTGGGGCGCCTGGGTAGCTCAGTCGGTTAAGTGTCCAACTTCGGCTCAGGTCATGATCTCACGGTTTGTGGGTTGGAGCCGCAGGTCGGCCTCTGTGCTGACAGCTCGGAGCCTGGAGCCTGCTTCAGATTCTGTGTCTCCCTCTCTCTCTCTGTCTCTCTCTTTCTCTCTGCCCCTCTCCCACTCGCTCTCTGCCTCTGTCTCTCAAAGTAAAATAAAGACAACAAAAAATTTTAAAAAAAGATGTTAAAAAGTAAAAAAATGTACATCTTACAAATGATGAAGTACAGGATAATCTGGGTTCACTGTGCAGAATTATTTAAATAATTTATATAAGGTACCTGGGATGTAATACAGACTCAACTATAGTTAGTTTTCTTCTTTTCTTTCTTACTCCTAATTCTGCTTGTACTGAGTATTGGACAAGACTTAATTCATTTCTTGAGAGGATTACATTCCAAAAGCGTGGGAAGATGACTATGCACTTAATAGTTGCACTTACCTACCAGACCACATCTGGCTAGATAATTTTGGCAACTAGGAAAAAGTTGGGAAAGTTTTCTGGAGATTCTTAGTGTATAATTTAAAGGACAATGGAATGTACTGTAGGCTGAAGGGAAAGAGGGATTAATTAATAGCCATGCCATTTCTCACCTGAGGTCCTGCTCCTCTGAGTTTCTGAAAAATACTAGCCTCAGGTAGGTCTGCTGTGTTCATAGGAGAGTCTTAAGGGAAGTCAAAACAGTCAGGATCTTTAATCCATCCTTACCAATATTTAGTAACCCTTTTGTCACAGGACTGGGAGTTCTTTTTTCCTACACAGGCCTTAAAAAATCAACTGCAGTTTTCTGTTGCTCAGATGGTCTTCATTTATCCTAGTTGTGTGATTAATCTGTTATTAAAAGTCTGAGAGTCTGAGATCCGAACCAAGTTCTCTCCTATATTAGAGGGGTTACAGGGTATATTGTTTAATTCAGACACCCTCTAAATCCTCCAGATCTTCTTACGCCACATTTTTAAACCCATTTCCACTTTCACCAGAAAAACAGCAGCCACGACAATTCTACCTTGCAAACCTTTTTTTAGGGTGGTCACAAATTATTTAGGCTCTGAGGTTAGTAATAGAACTAGAGATGCTAGAGAATTTTGTTTCCTCTGTCCTCTTAAGTTTCAGTACCAACTGAAGGGTACATTTGTGCTGAAGGTCACAAGTGTTGCAATATTGATTTGCTTTAGGGGGGAAAAATCTTGTAGGTGTCTTCCAGAGCTCTGCTGGAATGTTTAGAAAATTTTCAGCCAAAACAAACAAAAACAAAACCAAAAAGGCCCAAAGAACAAAATAAAAACAAACCAGTTTTATAGTTTATGAAAAAAGGGAAAGAATCCAGTTGAAATGAGGAAAGAAAATAAAATGAAAACTATGGAAGATTTCTTCGATGAGCAAGTTTAACAATTTTATAAGCACATTTGAAGTGGAGTTAGTAAACTCAAGAAATACAAAGCGATGCAAGGTCATTTTAAACATAAGCCAGGGATTCCTGTAGGTTGGGTCTTGTAGAATAAATAGGGAACAAGAGGCAGTATTTTTAGCCCCTGAATTATGGCATTTTAATGCCAGAAAGTGAAACTTACAATCCACTGGTGTCATGTCTTTGTCAAATGAAGACATAAACCCAGAAAGTTTCCTGGCCAATATCAGAATGGATATTAGAATTCAGGTCTTCTTACTCTGTGTAGTCTTCTTTTTTACTAATACATGCTTTGTGATATGAGTCCCCTTCTCTGAAGCTGTGGCCTGCCTGCCTTCCTTCCTTCCTTCCTTCCCGAAAGAGTACTCAAGCCAGAGAGGAGCAGAGAGAGAATCTTAAGCAGGCTCCATGCTCAGTGCCGGAGCCCAGTGCGAGGCTCCATCCCATGACCCTGAGATCATGACCTGAGCTGAGTTGAGTGTTGGACACTCAACCAACTGAGCCACCTAGGCACCCCTCTTTGTCATTTTCATTTTCATTTTTGGCAGCCTTGTTTTGTTGAGGTGACTCCCCAGCTCAAAGATGCCACCTGCCTTTTTCCTGTGTTTGTCAAGTTGTGTAGGCGAATTTTGGAATCAGGCAAACATTCAGAAATGTCACTGGAGAAAAGGGGACCTTCAACAGTGATGTTTCTGATACTAGTATCTGTTGCCTTTCCATCTAAGAACCAAATCTCTATTTAAGAAATACAAAATGGTCTTGATCTAAATGTACTAGCAAAGCCATGAGAAAGCAATGTGATTTTCTGACCTCAGGCTCATTTTTCCACAGAGACATAATTAGGGATGTTCAAAAGAATTTCTGTAAGTATAGGAGAACAGTCTCGTTTTACCAAAGGACAGGAATGTCGTTACTATAGACCCCCCCTTTTTTTGTTACATCTCAATGTGTCTTATAACTGAGCATATCTACAGTAAAGTGGCAGCATTTTTTCTTATTAGTCCTTAATAGTACTTAAGTGGTATTTTAGATTTGATGACATATGGCACTTTTGGTCAGCTAATTTTCACTTGTAAGTAAATATTAAATGAATATGTAATTCTGCATTTGAGTAGGGGATTATTTGGGTTTGGGAGTAATTGGTTGCTGAGTTTCTCTGCTATAAGGTTCTATAGGTAGGGACCACAATAGCATATATACTACATACATATAATACGTCATTAGAAAATATCGACTTATTAAATTCATAAGTGCGTGCATGAATAAATGAGTAACAAGTACACAGTTTGCAAGGTTTGGAAGAAGAGTACTTTCATGAATCTCAGATTAATGGTTGGGAGTGTAGGAGTGGTCAAAAAAGGCTATGGTTTGAGTCCCATCTGGGCAGGTGCTCTCTGGCCAGAACTTTATCATGCATCCCAGAGCCATTTCATAAATGATACGGTTGCTCTCTTTGGTGAAGAGGACTCTGCATGTGGCTAACGGATACAAATTTATCACCCTTGTTGAAGGCACATCCCTCTCATTACTCAGCCCCTTTCCTCCATAGCCTTTGTTACAGTTGTAACTCGTGTAGTTTTGTGTTTCTTTGTTTAATGTTTAGCTGTCTTACAGGGAAGACAGGTAGCTGTCTTCATGTGGGTAGGACCTGAGCCCATCTTGTTGGCTTCTGAATCCCTGGTACCTGGCAGACAGCTTGGCACAAAGAACACCTCAGAGCAGTGTAGTCTTCTCATTCTGCATTGATAATCATGATGATATAGATAGCTAATAGTGAAATAGCACTTGCTCTACCCTAGGCATCGTTCTACATGCTGTTTATATTATGAGCTCGTTTAATTCTCATATTGCCTGTGAGGCACATAATATTACTATCCCCATTTTTTTTTCACAGTGAAGCTGCACCTTTAAAAATGTTTCATATGGTAAAAAGTTACAAGTATATGTGTACATACTACATAGTATATGTAGACATGGGTTATTATATTTACAGGTAAACATAGGATATGCATAAGGATATATACGAAACATTTCCCATTGCACTTTGTTAAAATATGAATTATATGTTTCTCCTTTTAGGAAATGACTTAGCTTTGTGTTCATGTAGGATGTCAACCCAATTTCGAAAGCACACCAGCCACTTTGCTACCTAGTTTACAGGCGTCATCTCATAACAACATCACAGGATCCTTGTGGGCAGCTGTTATTCCATTTACAGATGGGAAGACTGAGGTTAAGGGAGATCAAAAGATCTGTGGCAGGTCAATGGCTGGTGAGCAGCAGAGCATAAACTCAAGCCCAGGCCTTTCTGATTCCTCAGAGCCCTTCTCAGACACTACTGGGATGCAGTCCGAAGGTTAGGCTGGCCGGTTTCTAAGAACTGGAGAGAAGGCATCACCACCACGTTCCCTAGCCTTCACCATTGGGGAATTCTTCCTGGTGGCCAAACTCAGGCCTTCCTGCTGCCCTAATATGTAATTTAAAGCACTCGTTTTCTTTCTTTCTTTTTTAAGTGTTCATTTATTTTGAGAGAGAGGAGAGACCATGCTTGTGTGTGTAGGTGTGCACACGTAAACGTTTGAGGGACAGAGGGAATTCCAAAAAGACTGCTGTCAGTGCAGAGCCGGGCCTGGGGCTTGATCTCCTGAATTGTGAGATCATGACTTGAGCTGAAATCAAGAGTCAGACCCTTAACCAACTGAGCAATCCAGATGCCCCTAAAATGCTTATTTTCTTAACATTAGTTAAGTTAGACAACAACATTGTCTGTTGATTTACCATTTGTCTGTCTTTAGTTGTGTTTCTTGTTCATGGCCTTTATCCATATTTGGTCTCTATCTTGTTGGTACTTCATGTTGCTGAAGTTAATCCCTTGTCTGTTACATGTTATGAAAACACTTCTGGTTTGTCACTGCCTTAACTCTGCCTGTGGTATGTTTTACTCTAAGCTCTTTCATTTTTCCTGTTGTGAAATAGTCCATTTGCATCACATTACTGTGTCTGGATTCTATTTGTTTAAAAAAAAGGTTAGTATGGAATTTGTACTAGATTAAGATAAGAGCTTTGAGGACTGCTAGAGCATGTAGTGTCGGACTTCTGTGCAATCTTTAGACAAATTTTAGGGAAACCTATGATCTTTGCATGTACAAAAATGGTTGTAAGTTTTTCTCCCCTTCTTTCCTGTTAAGTAGGAAAAATGAGATGGAACTTGTGACATTTAGCTTGATATAGGTGGGTTTTTTGTAGACCCTGTCTCTTGTCCTGAAATTCAGGGAAACATGTCTTGTACCCGGACTCTGTATGGGAGATACCATGGTGTACAAGACATGGGCCTTATAGTCTGGCATTTACAGTTAGAAGTTCCAGAGTATTTAGATGATACTTAAAATAATCTTGAGCCAAATTTAACCTTAAATAATTTTTCTGAGAAATAATGCAGTAAGCAAAGTAACAGATTGTGTGCACCTATCCATATACAGTGTGTGGCATAAGTATTATATACCCCATGAAAGTGTTTGCAGGTTCCAATCTTCTTAATCTCAGGTTCCCTAAACACCCCCTATTATATTCACCAGTCATGAATGTCATGTGAAGATTTAAGGATTCCTCACTGTCCAATATTTTATTTAATGTGAACTTATATGAATTAATGCAAGTGGAATTCTTAGGGAGTTGAGTACCATTGACTCTCTTATAAAAAAATTTTTTTTAAATGTTTTATTTATTTCTGAGAGAGAGAGAGAGACAGCGTGAGCAAGGGAGGGTCAGAGAGAGAGGGAGACACAGAATTTGAAGCAGCCTCCAGGCTCTGAGCTAGCTGTCAGCACAGAACCCGACACAGGGCTCAAACTCATGAACCATGAGATCATGACCTGAGGCAGGCGAAGTTGGACGCTTAACCGACTGAGCCACCCAGGCACCCCACCATTGACTCTCTTAATTGAAAGGTAAAAGGTATTTGCAAGATGGTTTGACCACTCATGTATGCCCTATGTTCTTGATTTAACGTAATAAAATAGCTTTCTCTAGTTACTTGGTCATTTTATAGAGGCCAGGTTTGCATTTAAAACCAAGTATGACTGAGCATCTTTTAGTGGTGGACTGACAACTGAAGATTTGTGCTGTAAACCACTTTCTTCAGCAGAAGTAGAATAGACTGTTTTTCATTACTTTAGGTGTTTGATTGATGGTTTGGGTGGAAAGGAAATCAAGTAGGGAAAGAACATGCAAAGAGCCAGTCTGACAGATATTTACTAGCTGTTTCCAGCAGCTAGTATTTGCTCTCTGCCAGCCCAAATGAAAGAGAGTGGAGGGATTGTGGGAGGGAAGGTGAAGAGGTGCACAGGTGGGGATGAGGAGAGGCTGCTTTCTTGGGGAGCCTCCAACCTGTGATTCTGGGCCATGGATATTATAAAGTAGGAAAGAATGAGGAAAAGAATGATAGAAGTAACTTAGAATTGGGTGAGTTTCACTTGGAATATAAGCATATTTTGCATTATTTCCATTCCGAAGCTGCAGAGGAGGCAGAAATGAAGGTGAGGAGAATTACAAAGTACAGTCAACCTCTGTACTTACTGTCCTCCTCACAGCCATGGCATCTGGCAGAGTGTGCTTGGTTTAAATGGCCAGGGACAGGGCAGGTTCGTCTGGCTTGTTGGGGTGCCTCAGGTTTTCCTCTGGGTTTCAGAGACCATTTTGATTGTTAGCATCTCTCATTCAGTTGACCTACATGTCCTAGAGCAGTATTTCAGAAAAAAGAGGCATATAGTAGCCAGTGGTTCCTTATCTAGAACCTTCTGTGACATGTTGATCTTTACTATACAGGTGCAGGTGTCCGTTTGGATGATCTGGGGCCAAGGAGCTGCATGGGCTAGGACTAGGCAGACGTGAAGAGAGTTTTTAGTTGCGGAGAGATTATAGCCATGGCCAGGAACCAAACAACCCTCTTTACTTTCTTTAGGAGGTTGGAGGTCAAGTAGCAGGGATGCTAGGTGTGAACTGCTGGTAGTCTGGGCCTCATTTTGGAGGTAGTCCCAGTAAGGAATCCATCCCTTAACCCTACCCTCTCTGACCCTCCAACCCACAATCCCTCCCCCACTTCCCAACGTACACAGACTTGAGTTGGGACAGGAGAGTTTACTTCAGATGTCCAACACCTATTCCTACCACAGTACATTTCACACTGTACTTCTGGCCCACTTTATGCCCGTTCGGGTGGATTGTGAGTCCCTTGAGGGCTGAGACTCTTATTCAACACTTTATCCATGATACTTGGCATTGTGGCTTGGCATAGGTGCTCCCCAATGCTGACTGAAGAAGTGAATGATGACAACTCCAGGAACTGGGTTATGTGCCTGATTATTCTAGCATCCTCATTTCAGTACCAGTGACACCTTGTCTGGTTTCTTTTCAGGACAAAATATCAGGAATTTCTTGTGTTTGAACATATACTTTGGGTTTGGCTCAAAAGTCATGATAGTCTGTTAGTTGTAGCTTAGCTGCAGTTAGGTCTATATGAACCTGGGCTCATACAGTAGAGAGGAGATCACATGCACACGTGCACACACATATGCATGACAGATCTCCCAAGATCGACTTTACCAGAGATTTAGAGTGTCAGGGTCAACTGCACAAGCTGAGAAATACCAGAGGGCTAGGAAACTGGAAGGTCGGCTGCTATTTATCACACTTTCTGATGCAGTTTTTGTGAGCACCAAAGATCTCGGGTTGTGAAGTCTTAAGCTCCATAGAGTTGGTCTAGGAGGTCTGGAGTAGAAGGAGGAGAAGATAGTGATATTAGTTGTTCTGCTATTGAGCCCGTGCTTTATGCATGTAGGCAGATCTGTCTTTTCTCAGGGTGATAGGGCTACTCCTGCCCCTGTGGAAGGAAAGTTGAACTGTCTGATTTCTCCTTTCTTAAGAATGAGTATAAGAATACTTGTGGAAGGCCCAGCTTTGTCTTCCAAAAGCAAGTATTTCCTTGTAGCAAGTATGGGCCCCAGATACCCTGATCTTATTATTATTTGATCTTATAATCGAATTTGTTGTCCTGTCTGGAAACTCCTGATGGTGGACCATGTATTGAAGATTCCAGGAATGGAAAGGACTGGTGCAGCAGATTCTGTCCGGGATAGCAGTGGGAATACTTCCACACGTATAGTGGTTGAGGGTCTCCAGCTGGGAGAATGGAGCAATGGGCAAAAATGGGTCTTAAGTGACAGCCCTGGATAGGGTAAGTCCTGAGGCTGCGAATTCCCTTTGTAGTGTCTGTTGTCCTGGGTTCAGGTGCTTAGCTATGCCCACTGTGGCAGGACTTGACCCTCAGTGCCCCTTCATGGCCCCTCATTCAGCATACTATAGTTCAAGAACGCAGCTGTCTGTTACCCAGCAGATCTATGTGCACATAGAACACTCCTTTCCCAGTTGGGAAGGGTGAATTTTGGCCTGTCTCTTCCCTAGACGTACAAGGGACTCCAAAATTCAAAGTTGTTAGAAACTGAGGTATGCACAGTAGTTGAAGACAGCTCAAGAGATGCCCAAAGGGCCAGATACAGATCAGTTATGGAACTTGGGACCTAAGGATTTAAGAGGACAACAGGCAGTGATTCAAGACAGAAAGCATGGAATAGACCCTGGGCACTACTTTTCTAGAGTTAGCTTCTATGAGTTAATTCAGTGGTAGCAGGACAACCTGACACTTTGAAAGGGCCAGGGATGGGCCACAGAGACAGCAAGTTGGGGCTGTAATGAAGGTTTAAAAGTAGTCAGAGAGTAGCCCACAGTTGTAATTCATCAGTGCTTAACTTTCTACTGCCTTTTGTAATATGGGAGCTGGTCTTAGTAACTAAAGAGATTTATCAGATTTCATTGCAGTAGATTGCTGAAAGTAACTTAGATATTTTTTTTTTTTTACAAATTCTTCTCTCATCTGCTTATATATTTCATTTTCCCTATTTCTTCTATATGTAAGGTCTGGTGTCTTACATCAGAAGATGATCAAATTAAGTAACCTTGGATTATATATTAGACAAGTATTATCTCTGACTTAAGCTTTAACATTAATATTTAATGTTAACATTTAATGTTATTTTGGGGAATGACTTGCAGAGTAGTTCTTACAAGCTCTCCGAACAAAGCGTGCCTCTCCACTCACCTATTATTTACAGATGTTGGGCTTAAACAGATTGGGGAAGGGGCTCCTGCCTGGCTTAGTCAGAAGAGCATGTGACTCTTGATCTCGGGGTTGTGAGTTTGAGCCTCACATTGGGTGTAGAGATTACTAAAAAACTAAGTAAACTTAGAAAAAAAAAAAAAAAGGTTGAAGGGCTCCTGGGTGGCTTAGTCGGTTAAGTGTCCGACTTTCGCTTAGGTCATGATCTCGCGGTTTGTGTGTTTGAGCCCCGTGTCGGGCTCTGTGCTGATAGCCAGCTCAGAGCCTGGAGTCTGTTTCAGATTCTGTGTTTCCCTCTCTTTCTGACCCTCCCCTGCTCACGCTGTCTCTCTCTCTCTCTCTCCTAGAAATAAATAAAAATATTAAAAAAAAAAAAAGGTTGAGTAAAATGGGCAAAGGATGTGGCTGTTTAGCAAACATAATTAGTACAATTGATACCTGGTCCCTGGATTTGAGCCATTTGTCTTTGGGGAATGAAAATTCTAAACTTAAGCTTTTCTCATACATTTAGAAAAGGCTACAAGATTGTGGTTCTTGGTAAAGAGGGGATCCTGGAGAATAGAACAGTGTCTTTTTTTTTTATTCCTCTATTTCTATAGCCTTTGTGTGTCACTTAAAGTTTCCATGATCACAAGAGAGCCCCTGTGTTAGAGGATTTTTTTTTTTTTGTGTGTGTCACTCAGTTCAGTTCATGGTCCAAAAGTTTGGAGAAATTATAATGTGTCATATTTTCTTTACTTTTCAGTGCAACAGAATGGAATTCGGCATTGTTCCTATATAACTTCCCGGAAACATCTCTATGTTGATAAAAATACAAAGGTTATTTGCCAGGGTTTCACCGGTAAGCAGGTATGTGTCAAGATGTTTTATAAAGATGCACACTACAGATACAAAAACATTTTAAAGTATTTTCTATGTTTTTAATATCACAGATTTATAATATATGATTGTTGAAGAAAAGTAAAGTACAGCAATGGAGTTATATCTTGGTGGGGGGAGGGGGATTGGGTGCTATAGTCAGGCCATAAGATGAAAACTGTTTAAACTTACCTTGACAATCCCCCCCACAAGAGCACATGATGTTAGAAACCACATACTGTCTTTCAGCCAGTTTAACACCACTGGTTTTCCCCCAGCACTGGAAAAGATTACTGTTTCTTTAACTGACTACTAGGTAAAGTAGGTGGCTTGTGTTTAGGCCTTTTGTAAAAAACGTACACAGGTAAACACAGATCAGTGTGGGGAAATGCTCCTGGGAACGGAGGTAGGCGGAATAATCAGCACACTGACTTTTCTCATTTTGGACTCTCTGAGCAAATGGTCTTCAAAGGGACTAGCAGGCAAAATTGCCTGAAGTGTTTTAATTTGTTCTCATTCACTTATATTCATTATCTCTCCCTACCCCTGCTTACATCCTAGAATTTGTAAAAGTTTTAAATACATGTGAAATGTGATTCCACAATAAAATGCAACGTGAGAATCTCCTTTCCCGCCTTCCTATCGTTCTATGCTATGATATATATCCTGCATTTTACATGTCTATAGAATAGATTCATAAAAGAAAAATTGAGTGTTAAGGTTCTGTGTATTTAAAATTGTAACAGCTATTGCTAAATTACCCTTTAAAACATTCGTACAAATTTATAGTTCCACCATAATAGACGCAGATTTTTGTAAAATCAAGGAATACTACCAAATCAATTAGAAGATAGCCATGAGTCTTAACCCATAGTATCCCTTTCATTATTTAAAGAAGATATGGCAAGATAAAAGCAGTTAATGACTTTTTGTGTGTGATTTAAAAGTTAGTGATTTTTCTATAATCAGAAGAATCATCGTGTCCATTCTGTGGTATTTTGGTAATCTAGGGCAGGAGTCTGCAAATTTATTCCGGAAAGGACGAGATTGTAAATATTAGACTTAGTGGGCCATGCAGTCTCTGTCACAACTACTCAATGACATTGTAACTGCAAAAGCAGCTATCGATAATATGTCAATGAATGGGCATGGTTGTATGCCAGTAAAATGGTTTATAAAACCAGGCCAAACTCACACCATATTTTTCTAACCCTTGATCTATAGGATAATACCTAAATATCCAAATTTCTGTAACTTTTGTTTTTAAAGTACTTACAAATTGCTTTAACTCCATAGGTTTTGGTGTTTTTAAAAAATGAATTGATTAGAAAGTTGTTTCATATAAAATGTCCTTTTGCTTTTTTACTTTTTTTCTGAAATTATTGGACACAAAAATGTGTTATTTTTCTGAAATAACTGGACCTTTCTTATTCTCTTCCTCTACTATCTTAAAAAATAATCCACACCAAAAAAAAAAAAGCAAAAACAAAAAACAAAAAGGAACACCCAAAACCTTTACATTTTGTTCCTAGGCAAAATTGGTTTACTTGTTCTGATAACCATATGTCTTACGAGATCACTTCCATGTGTATGTACTCTAAAGAAAGCTGATGCTCTTCTAAGATTTGAAGTACATTTTATCACTTCTCTGCCAAGTAAAATCATTTTCAAGTTCCTTTTTGGTTAAATATTAATTGTGTTAGCATATAATCAAATGATTGATTAACCCAAATTCCCTGCGTTAATTTTATTATATATGATGTTTCTGTTTGCTAAACTTTATATGATCCTGTGACATCTTATCCTATGACCTTTTGTTAAAAGAGCCATTGTTCATGATATAAGCAATATTTGCAACCGTCTGTGCTTCCTGAATTAAGTGTTGGTTTGCCTAAATACTGAAAGCCAAGGTGGTTTCAGTGTCTTTCAGTAATTAGCAATTACATTGTTTCTCATTTACTTTTTTTTTTTTTAAGTAATTGGGAACCTTACTTGTCTCAGATGCGTTAAGATTCTATTATTATAGAGATAACAATGAGGTCTGAAATTTTGAGTTTATCTTCATAGGAAATCTACCTTTTGTCTCGTTAGTTCTTTTATCCAGTATATACATCGTTCCACGTATGAAAGAGGAATATTTGTATTTCGGAGTGAATTTCAACAATGCAAATTTCCAGCAGGTGGAATTTCTGGTACTGGCTTTGATCTCCTAAAACTATTTCTATTCTTAACTCAATGGTGATAATGGGGTAACTAAGGAAAATAAGCTTATTAACAGCTTTTAGCCCTACTTAGGACTAAAAAATTAGTCGATTTGAATTTGTTTAGCAGAGTTGTGATCTAGGGTAGTGCTTCTTAAGCTGTCTTGAGTGAAAAACCAATTTGGGTTTTTGCCTTTAGTTTTCAATCTAATGCAAACCAACATTTTATTTTTTTGTAAAAGAAGAGTTGCAGCAATATATCACTATAAAAGTTTGCAAGCATTGTCACTTTTATTTTAGCTTTTTAACTAATTTTTTTCTTCTTGTTTTTTCATTTTTCTTTCCTTTGTTCTTTGTAATTTTTTATTCTTTTTCTTTTTGTGTTTATCTCACTGCAGACCAGCAAGTCTACAAACTACACTTTGAATAGCACTGTTTAAAGAGAGAGCTTTGGCTTGTGATTTGTTTCAAAACTCCATCACTGACTTTAGGCAAGTTAGTTAACATGCTTGCAGCTAAGGTACCTGCTTTGAAAAATGAAGAAGCTGAATCAGGAAATTTCTGAAGTCCCTCTTTAAGTCCCAGTTATTATGCCTGTAATAGAATTTGAGAAGTTGGGTCAGCATTTTTAGGTCCCTATAGAATGACCACATAGATCCATTCAGTTTCAGCAACTGCTTATTCAGTGCCTACTGTATGTCATGTGTTGGTTTAGGTTCCATCTCTTAGTGAACAAAGTACCCAGAAATCACTGCCTTCTTGGAATCTACATTTTAGTGGTGGGAGGGAGAGAAACATGTCCACAAAACCAATGAGTAAATTATGTGATAAGTTAGAAAGTATAAATGCTTTCTGGAAAAAGTAAACCGTGGGTAGAAGTATGTGTATGTGTGTGGGGTTGTGGTGGTGTTCAGGACGGGGAAGGGGGGATTTTATGTCAGGCGATCAGGGGACACCTGACCTGAGTCAAGATCTAAGGGAGATGTGAGAGCAAAGTGAGTGGATATGAAGGGAAGTGCATTCAAGGCAAAGGGGGACAGCAGGGCCGTGAGGCAGGAATGTGTCTGTCGTGTGCAGTAGCCACAAGGCCAACGTGGCTGGAGTGAAATGAATAGTGCGAGAACAGTAAATGAGGCCAGGCAGTTAAGGAGTTTGGATGGGAGGATGCAGGTTGAGTATTGACTTATGGGCCGGTAAAAGGAGTTTGGCTTTGACTGTGAATGAAGTGGAAAACCACTGGAGAGTTTTGATCAGAGGAGTGTTATGATCTTGCTTATGCTTTAAGAGGATCATTCTGGCTGCTGTGTTGAGAATAGATGAAAGGGAGCCGGGAGCAATATTCTGTCAAGAGTTGATGGTGACTTAGACCATGGTGGTAGCAGAAGGGATGAGATGCTGTCAGTTATATTTTGAAGTTAGGGCAGTAATATATCTGATGTGAGATAGAAGAGAAAGAGAATCAAGGAGGACTTCAGTATTTTTGATCTGGCATCTGTTAGGAGTGGAATTGTCATTCACCGAGATGGGGTGGAGTGGGAGGGGAGTGTCAAGGGGAGTGTCAGGAATTTGGTTTTGAGCACATCCGATGCTTGCCAGTTCTCCAAGTGGAGATGTCAGATGGGCAGTTGACAGTGTGAGTTTGAAGCTCAAAGCAAAGGTCTGGGTTGGGTATGGAGGTGTGTGTGTGTGTGTGTGTGTGTGTGTGTCTGTGGGAGGGGTCGCCATATGGATTATTGCCATTATAAGGGATGAGATCATTAAGGGCCAAATTCAGATGAAAAAGAGAAGTCTAAGGAGAGAGAGAACGAGAAGAGGACAACCAGGGGAGATAGAGCCCTAGAAGCCTCGTGAAAAATAGTCTTTCAATTTGTGGAGACATTTTTGGTTGTCCCAACAGCTGAGTGGGGTGGAGAGGAGGGTGTGGTACTGGAATCTACTGAGTAGAGGCCAGGGGTGCTGCTAAACGTTGTGCAAAGTATAGGACAACTTCCCATAACAGTGAATCCATGGGACCAAAATGTCTGTAGTGCCGAGGTTGAAGAGGGACAGTGAATGGATGGGGAGCTACGGGGTGTTGGCTGGGCAGCATTAAAAGCTCGCCTGAGGTTACTGATGAGTATTTTAAAGTGAGACCAGTTAGCATGCTTCTGTTTTTTCTCCAGCTACTGGTTGGCTGTGTATGTGTAGTCTTAGAGTAAGTAGGGAACTGGGAATAACCAAGATTGTGGTTTTGTCACATGGGTATATTGAAGTGAGAGAGAGCCAAAGTTGCTGTGTGTTTATAATGATTGACCATGCATTTTTAACTATATAAATGAGGGATGTGAGGATGTCAGGAGTTGGGAAACAGTGAAAAGGAGGTGTTAAGTAAACACACAGGTTTCTGACCATCAGCCAAATTTGAAAATCAAATAAAGAAAGATTACCCTTTAAAAAAAAAAAAACAAATGGGGGGTGGCTTGTGGCACAGTTAAGTGTCCAACTTTGGCTCAGGTCATGATCTCATGGTTCATGGGTTCGAGCCCCGCATCGGGCTTTGTGCTGACAGCTGGCTCAGAGCCTGGAGCCTGTCTTCAGATTCTGTGACTCCCTCTCTCTCTGATCTTCCCCTGCTCACGTTGTCTCTATCCCTCTCTCTCTCAAAAATAAATAAAACATTAAAAAAAAACCTTTTAAAAAATAAAAAAAATTAAAGAAACAAACAAACAACTATTTTAGCCTGGACTGTTTCAGCGTTCAAAGCTGGGTTTAGCAAGTTGTTGAGAATGCTGGATATATGTTACTTGCACATTCTGGGAAATAGTTAACCTATTTATTTTTCTTTCCCAAGTTGCTGAAGATTGCCTTTAGGCTTCCCGGCCTGTCTTTTCTCATGAGTCTTGTGCTTTTTTCCCCCTCAGGGCACCTTTCATAGCCAGCAGGCATTGGAATATGGCACCCAGCTAGTTGGGGGAACCACTCCAGGGAAAGGCGGCAAGACACATCTGGGCTTACCAGTCTTTAACACCGTGAAGGAGGTAATTAATGGCACTGAGTTTGCTAATAAAGAAATGCAGGAGGGGCACCAGGGTGGCTCAGTCGGTTGTGCGTCCGACTTCAGCTCAGGTTGTGATCTCATAGTTCGTAGGTTTGAGCCCCGCATCAGGGTCTGTGCTCAATGCTTGCTCAGAGCCTGAAGCCTGTTTCAGATTCTGCATCTCCTCTCTCTGCCCCATCCCTGCTCGCGCTCTGTCTTACTCTGTCTCTCAAAAATAAATAAATGTAAAACAAATAAAAAAGAAAAGCAGGAGAAGAGCAAGCATGCTTTGGATAAAGATCTTAATTGTGTCCGTTTCGGGAGAGTCACTTGCTGTTTTAAAATCCAGTAATGTAGAAACCCGTAGGTTCACTTTAGTCACACAGACTCAGAATGGCTTCCCCACATCCAGTGTCATTTTCTTTACAGGCATTCATTTGAGCTGTTAAGGGAAGAAGCATTGTAGGTTGGGTTCTCTCTGGCTTATTATCCCTTCCTTACCCTTTCTTCCAGGATGTTAGCAGCGTACATGTCAGCCTCCACCCCTAACATTTAATGAGAAAGGGCTCCTTGCCAGGCACCGTGCTCCAACATGTCAGCCTCCACCCCTAACACTTAATGAGAAAGAGCTCCTTGCCAGGCACCGTGCTCTGTGCTTTATATACATTGTTTCATTCAAGCCTCACCACCATCCTGTGAGGGGATGCACCTGATGGTGCAGGTGCTGTCACCATCCTCATTCTGAAGACAAGGATACATGCAGAGAGGTTAAGGGTCCTGCCCATAGTTCATAGCCGAGAAGTGGCAGACTTAGCACGGCTCGGGGTAAGCAGTATGGTGTTCCCGCGTGAAAACACTGAGCTGTCAAGTCAGACTGACAGATCACTGAGCCCTAGTCTCTTCCCCAGATTCCTGCTTTCTTAATCATTTTTAAAGTATGTTGAACTAAACCTAATTCTGTGTTGCAAAATTAATATTTACTTATTGTAAAATATAAGATGATACAAAAGTTACATGTAAAGGTAAATTTTATAGTGTTTTCCACGTCTCAGATTTTGCTTTTCTAGAGAGCTCATTTCAGGTCAGTGTGTATTCTTTCATCTTTCTTTCTACACTTGCATGAATATATAGAAAAGCAATAGTATTATAAAAGAAACTATAAATTCTTACTTATTTAATAAAAAATATCCAGGAAATAAACTTAGTACTTGGACCAATGTACTGATGATAACAGATGTATCCCTCCCCCCATATTCTTCCAAATAGTTTTAAGGCATGTTTTCAAATATCACATTTTTTAAGAGTACAAATTTATACTTAATCTCTTTTTAGAATACCAACTTTGAGTTGAAGTGAATTTGTATTCTTAATCCTAAAACGTAGGGAAAAAAACAGATAATTCAAATTTGGAATTTCCATTTTACTTTAAACTTGAAAATAGGTTGTACTCTATGTGTATATGTGTGTTTAAGTGTACTGTACTTTAAAGAGTAAAAAAAAAGTTAAAATGATGTTCTAGAGAAGAATTTTGAAGTCTTTTTGCTTTAAATTCTCTTATGGCTGACTTCACGACCTCAAAATAGAGAGAAGAGCTGTTTTCATAATTCCTCTAGGTAGATTTGACTTTTTCATGGGCTTTTTTTCGCTTTCGTTTAAAAGAAGTTTTTGTTGCTAAGCAACTCATTTATTATTCATCGTGATACAAATAGATATGACATTTGTAATATTTTTCAAGTTCTTTGACAGATACTGCATTTTTACCTGTTTGGCACTTACAAAAGCTTTCTGAATGAGTGGGATGGATACCTTTCATCCAGTATCACTTGTTAGCACAGACCCCGTCATCACAGTCCAGCTTTTGGCGGTATTTGTGGCCTTAAAGAGGTAGAAAACTGTAGGGTGTATTTTCCCAAAAGTACCTACATGCCTATGATCTGACTTCTTTTTGTTCCAACCTAGTTTTTATTTTTTTGTACCCCCTTCTTTGTTATCACCTTGAACAGAGTTTTAAAAAAATTATTTTTAACCCCTGGCATCACTTGCTGATCATCTGTCAGCATCCTTTGACTTTGTCCTTCTGTCAATGCCAAGATACTTTTTATTAGGGATGCTGTAGAGAAAGCTCCTCAGTGTCTGGGGATGTGGGGAGTCCTTCAGGGATGATTCTGAAAGACACTGTCTTTTACTTCTGCCCCTTCTAGCTATACCTCTGTGTTCTGTAGTTTAGTGTTCCTATCCATTGTAAAATCCCATGACACAGCCTTCCCAAAGGTTTTGCTTTATATCTCGATTAAGTTATATTTTAACATTTATAGGGAGGCAGCCTGCTGTAACTGAAAAGAACAGACACTTTGGAATCAGAGATCCTTAGATCTGAATCTTGGCTCTGCCACTCACTTCCTAGTTATGTGACCTTGTGTAAATTATTTACTGTCTCTTCACTACAGCATCTTAATTTGCAGATGGGAATACTAAGCATGCAGGGTTGTGGTGAGGCCTTAACAAGACCTGCCTTAAGCCCCGTTGCAGGGCGTCTCACAGAACAGGTGCTGCCTGTTCTGCTCTCGGAGAATCAGAGATCACTGACAATCTCTGTCCTCAAGGAGCTTCCATTACAGTGGAAGAGATGTGGCCACACCTAGAGTTGGTACAAGGAGACAACTGTGTTTGTATATGTGGGGACTACAGAGAGAATCATGGTCAAAGTGATGGTCCTTAAATGCTCTGCATTGTGAGGGGTGATGTAGAGTAGACCCTAATGCTTATTTGACCCACATTCTCATCCTTGGCCATTTATGCATTTGTAATTATTATTACAATCACAATTAATAATTACAATTATTTATTGTAATTAACGTGCATTTAGAGTAAAAATTGTGAGTGTAAAAACACCACATCATCTTCAACGTCTTTCGCTAACGTTTATCAAGTATGATCTTTTTTGAACACAGGCGTTTGAGAGCTAAGTTCTGAGGCTCCGCAGCTTACTGGTCCTTTTGCTGCTGGGGACATCTAGGGTCTTTGGTGCTGAATGGGTGATACAGTGTCTTGTAAGCAACAAAAATAAACATGGCCACAGGAATGAGGGGACACAAACACAAATCAGGCACGCCTTCAAGTTTACTGACGTGCCAGCACCTCAGAGAATGGGTCCTCCTGGAACCTTTCAATTCAGAGTAGCATTCTAATGGGGGCAGAGGGGACGCCCTGCTCGGTCCTGCTCTTTTCTGATAGCTAAGTGATCTTGTTAGTGGGAAGAAGGAAGACATCCAGTATCCCTGGTGGTATCCTTTCCCCATCCCAAGACATTATTAAAATCATGGTATTGAATTCATTTTACGGTGTTTACAACTCACCCCATAATAATGCGCTTCATGGTTAATGTTTCAGGCCAGAGAACAGACAGGAGCAACAGCTTCTGTCATTTATGTTCCTCCTCCTTTTGCGGCTGCTGCCATCAATGAAGCTGTTGAGGCGGAAATGCCCTTGGTCGTGTGCATTACTGAAGGTATCCCACAGCAGGACATGGTGCGGGTCAAGCACAAACTGCTGCGCCAGGGAAAGACCAGGCTGATCGGGCCCAACTGCCCTGGAGTCATCAATGTAAGTGGAAAAACAAAAGTAAGCCTGGATTTAGGCTTTCATAAGGCTGACTAGCTTCGAGTCAGGCCAAGTGTGTTTGTGTGTATGACTTAGTTATAGGTTGTTGTTTTCTCTTTTCTGAAACTGTGATTTTCTTTCCTTCAGCCTGGAGAATGCAAAATTGGCATCATGCCTGGCCATATTCACAAGAAAGGAAGAGTTGGTGAGTATGTTTCTTATAGATTAAAAAAAAAAAATTCTTTGCCCTAAGCTCAGAATTCACAAAGAGAATTTGTGCCTGTGCAAATCAAATTCATTTTAATTAATTGAACTGTTTTGGAATTTTGTAGTGAATCCATTCCGTGTCCTGAGTTGAATGAGTTTAAGAGTCAGTAATAATTCTGCAAAATCAATAAAGATATTTTTTGGAGATTTTTTAGAGATTCTTTTCCTGCGCAGCATGCTGTGGATTCTTTCATGTGCTTTTATGTATCATGAGTTCATTTCATTTTACTGCTAAGTAGAATAGTAGTGTATTGTGTGATTACACCACAGTTTGTCCGTTGTCCTGTTGATGCACATTTGGGCTGTTTCTAGGCTGAATCGTGATGACTAAAGATAAGGTGACATTTCTGTGTAGGTCTTTCTTTGGACACATTTTCATTTCTCCTGGGTAAAATACTTACAAATGGAATCGCTAAGTCATAGGTTTCAAGTATGTTCCTCTTTTTAAGAAACTGCCAAACAGTTCTGCAGAGTGGCTATTCATTTTACATTTCCACCATCAATGCATGACAGACAGTTCCAATTGCTCCCCATCTTCACCAACATTTAATATTATTGGTCGTTAATTTAAGCCATTCTGCTAGGAGTGAAATAATGTCTTGTGGTTTTAATTTGAGTTTCCCTGATAACTAAAGATGTAAAGCCCCATTTTCATGCACTTATTAGCTATTTATATATCTTCTTATGTGAGGTATCTGTTCAAGTTTTTTGCACATTTCCTATTGGTTGTCTTTTTCTTGTTGATTATGGTGGTGGGTTCTGTAAATATTCTGGATATAAGTCCTTTGTTGGTTATCTGTGCTTTGAATATTTTTATTGTTAGTCTCTCTGTATCCTGTCCTCGAATTACTTTGCCTTCTAGGATATCACAAACTTTCTCAAAATGTTTTGTGAAAATTCTACTACTTGTTTAGTTCCTCAAGGACATAACCTAATTAACATTTCAAAGTTAGCCCATTATACTTGTTTTTTAGACTCTTCACACCTGGGGCATCTGGATGACTCAGTCTGTTAAGCTTCTAACTTGGGCCCAGGTCATGATCTTGCAGTTCCAACCCCACATCGGGCTGTCTGCTGTCAGTACAGAGCTGGCTTTGGATCCTCTGTGCCTGTCTCTCTCTCTCTTCCCCTCCCCTGCTTGTGCTTTTTCTCACTCAAAAAATAAACAAACATTAAAAAAAAGACTCTTCACACCTAATTCTCACTAAGCTTTCTTAGTGCACCATAATAGATGGTTGCAGTATTTTCTCTATCTATAAACCATGACTATTAATACTGAGTAGGAATAATCAGTATAGTAGGTGAATGTCAGTTAAGTTGTTTATAGGACTGGGTTAAAGGTCATGAGTTTTCTTTGTTACTAAAATCCCTTAGAGCTGTTAGCCCTGCTGCCAGTAGAGTACTTACCAAGTTCTTATATTAAGGAGGTTCTAGGGAGTTCCACAGTCCATCTGAGGTCTAGTGGGGACCTGATTCATGTAGTCACTGACGCTCTTGTAAATAGTTGAGCACTCTAGGGGTGCCTAGGTGGTTCAGTTGGTTAACCGTCTGACTTTGGATCAGGTCATGAGCTTGTGGTTTATGAGTTTGAGCCCCACTTTGGGCTCTGTGCTGACAGGTCAGAGTCTGGAGCCTGCTTTGGATTCGGTGTCTCCCTCTCACTCTGCCCCTCCCCTGCTCACACTCTGTCTCTTTGTCTCTCTCTCTCAAAAACAAAGATTACAAAAAATTTTTTTTGAAGTAGTTGAGCACTCCATATACTCTTGAGCCTGCTGTCAACGGCTACTGCTATAGACTTGAAGTGAGCACGTAAGAAGGCGTGTCCTGTGCCAAAATGCCTTTCTCCTCCCTAACCTGCTTCTAAGGTACCTGTAAACCTAAAAAAACAACCACATGTGACATACGTTAAAGATGGAGGGCCATCTTTAAAATTTTTTTATTTTATTTTGTTATTTTTTTTAATGTTTATTTTATTTTTGAGACAGAGAGAGACAGAGCATGAGTGGGGAAGGGGCAGAGAGAGAGGGATACACAGAATCTGAAGCAGGCTCCAGGCTCTGAGCTGTCAGCACAGAGCCCAACGTGGGGCTGGAACTCATGAACCGTTGAGACCATGACCCAAGCTGAAGTTGGATGCCCAACTGACTGAGCCACCCAGGTGCCCCCCAAAATTTTTATTTTAAACTTTATACATTTATGTACTTGTAAATTCACATGTAGTACCATAGGTCCCTGAGAATCTGTCCACTTTTTTCCCTGGTCTGTTTTTGTTCTGTCATTCCAATTGGGTAATTGTTTTTCAATGCACAGATTATTTCCTGTCTCCCCTCCTTTATGCCATTGAACTCATCCACCGTGCTTTTAGCTTTGGTTGTTTTATTTTTCACTTCTAAAAATTACATTTGGGTTCTCTTTATATCTTCTGTTTTTTTTGCTGAGACATCATTATTTTTTTGATAAGGCTTTCTGTTTTCTCATTTGTTTCAAGCATGTTCATAATTGTTTCTGTAAAACATTTTTAGCATGCTTTCTTTAAAATCCTTGTTAGGTAATTCTTCATCTTGGTGTTAACATCTGTTGATTGTCTCTTTTCTTTCAGTTTGAGATCTCCCTGGTTCTTGGTATTCTGAATGGTTTTTGATTGAAACGTGGATAATTTGTATAGTATGTTATGAGACTCTGGGTCTTATTTGAACCTTCTGTTCTAGTTGACGTTATTTACACTGCTTCAGCAGGGATTGTCGGAGGAGGCGCCTCATTACTACCAGGTGGATGTAGAAGTCCAAGTTCCCTACTTGCTTCCATTGATACTGGAGTGGGTGGGCTCTTCCTTACTGGGGATGACACTTCTGTTCCCCTATGTGGTCCCTACTGACATTCATTGGGGGTGGCCTTGTTATTGCTGGACGATGGTGAGAGCCCTGACTCTCGACGATGCCTTCTCTGATGCCACCCCACCAAGGCGATGGAGAAGTGCCTCAGTCCTGCTGGATGAGGAGAGACATGAAAGGCTTCCCATGTGGTTTCCACCGACATGGTGGGGCTCATTATCAGCTGGCACACATGGAAGTCCTGACTGCCTCCTTGACCTTCTCTTTCACCAACCTGGCATCTATGTTGGGGTACCTCATTGTAGCCTCCTAAATGTGGAAGTCTAGGATTCCTTTTTGGCCCTTTGCTCATATGGTGGAGGTACAGCTTTTTCTGTAGTGTTTGGTTGGTATGGAGTTATTGCCTCAGAGTTTTCTGTTTTGCCAGGCTGTCCTTGGTTCTTTTGCTAGAGAAAGCAGGCTTTTGAGGAGGATGTGTTTTTCTGTACCCTTATGTGTTTCTGGAATGCTTTAGCTCCATATCTAGGATGTATGAGGCAAAAGAAAACCCAGGAAGCTCACCAGTGTATCATTTGTTGGGTCTCAAAGTCCCTAGTCACCTTGCCTTTTTCATCTCTTAGAGATTTCTTTTATTTGTTTTCTATATAATGCCCAGGGATTTTACTTGACAGGAAGAATAGAGGAAAGTACTTTTACACAGAAGCATAAGTGTCCTTGTGATAGGTATTTTTAAGTGATAGCCTCTTTTACTATATATGCCTTAAGGAACGCAGGAGTAATCTATCCTAAAAACATGACTTTTATTACTTTCTGTGTATGCATTTTGCATTTATATAATTTACATATCATTTCTATAATCAGTTGAAAGCCCCTTAGAAAAATGATACTATCCTGGTGTTACTATGAGTACACAGCGATGATAACACAAAACTTTGCTTAAGAATGTAAATATGCTGTACTAAAGTTGAGGTAGCTTATGGTTCTGATTTTTGTCTCAGTCTGACAAGAATTCTGCTTCCTCTGATAGGGGGATCATATTGCTAGAAGAGTCTCTGAGTTCTTGGGGCGCCTGGGTGGCTCATTTGGTTAAGCGTCTGACTTCGGCTCAGGTCATGATCTCACAGTTCGTGGGTTCAAGCCCTGCGTCAGGCTCTGTACAGACAGCTTGGAGCCTGGAGCCTGCTTCAGATTCTGTGACTCCTCTCTTTGCCTCTCCCCCACTCGCACTCTGTCTCTCTATCTCTTGAAAATAAATAAACATTAAAAAAAAAAAAAAGAGTCTCTGAGTTCTTAAGAAGTGCTCCAAGGCAGAAGTTTAAAGAAAGCAAATCATGGACATACTTGAAGTATTCACTGGCCCACAATCCATTCTCTAATTTTAGCCCATACAAAGTTTTGTGTTTTATTTTTAAAAATTTTTATATAATATATTCTGACAACTAAAGTTACTCAGTTTTCTCAACCTGTTATATGTGGGGATTCACCTATCATATATACATTGTGGCATGAAGAAATTATCTTCCTTGTAGCTTCCTTTGTAGCTCAGCGATGCATGGTGAACTATAATAGAGGACATCTAGGTACCCCTATCCTCATCCCCACATGTGCACACCGTGTCCACGTGTGAACTTAGGTGCTTTCACCATAGGTCCATTGTATGAAGGGAATTAGGTAAGATAGACTTGAACTCAGAGGGGTCTTGGCTTTATTCCCCTGTTATCTTTATATTGATTTTAGAGATGCTTGGGTGGTTCAGTCAGTTAAGTGTCCAACTTCAGCTTGGGTCTTGATCTTTCGGGCCCCATGTCAGGCTCTGTGCTGACAACTCAGAGCCTGGAGCCTGCTTTGGATTCTGTGTCTCCCTCTCTCTCTACCCCTCCCCTGTTCATTCTCTCTCTTTCTCTTTCTCAAAAATAAGTGAACATTTAAAAAATTTATATTGGGGTGCCTGGGTGGCTCAGTCAGTTAAGCATCCGACTTCATCTCAGGTCATGATCTTGCAGTTTGTGAGTTTGAGCCTCGTGTCGGGCTCTGCTGACAGCTCGGAGCCTGGAAGTCCATTTTGGATTCTGTGTCTCCCTCTCTCTCTGCCCTTCCCCTGCTCATGCTCTGTCTCTCTCTCCTTCAAAAATAAATAAACATTAAAAAGCGTTAAAAAATGTATATTGATTTTAAAGTCTATATATTATTTGAAAATTAGTAGAAAAATAATTGTGGGAAAGATATATAGCATTCCTAAATGTGACTAATGCTGGTGTTACAGGCTGAATGTTTTGGTGGTTTAGTAGTTTGGGTATCTATAAGTCCAACCTGTCATTTTCTGCCACTCCAAGCAGGATTGTACTTAGCAAGTTCATATTGATTCTACCCCTTTGATACAGATTCTTAGAGCAGGTAATGTAGGGCTTTCCTGCACTGCTTTATAGACATGAAATAACCCTAACTTAACAGTGTACTCTCTCCTTTGTCTGACTTTTAAAACTTCCCTGCTTTCATTTAAACCTTTTCTTCTTATTTCATCATTTGAAGGTGTTGTTGATTTGGATGGCAAATTGCGGAATGGATTTTTTTATATACTTGTATTTGTAATATCATAGTCTGTCATACGAACATAATCTAATGTTTTTAAATTCTCTTCCTTTAAGGTATCGTATCCAGGTCTGGGACCCTGACTTACGAAGCAGTTCACCAAACAACACAAGTTGGACTGGGGCAATCTTTGTGCGTCGGTGAGAGATTTTTGATAAAATCATGATGTTGTAACGCCGTGTCTTCGTTGAAAGAGTAGAATAATAATTATTGTTCTGATTTTTTTTAAAGAGGTTTGGATAACCATTTCGTCAAAAAGATGGTACGATCTTAAATTTAATATGCTTCAGTGTGAAGCACCACTGTATATTTTCAAGATCGTGGTCCGAGGGTCCAAAGTTTGACTCTCATGTTGGGGAATAAGCATTGTAGGACACGTAGCTCCTGAAGAGGCTTGGTGCCTGAAAACACCACTCACTTGGCTTGCTGTGAACAACTGTTCTTCCTATCAGGACTTTTGTTACTGTAGTTATCATTTTGATACCATTGTAAGCTATTATTCATGCTTCACAGTTAGGGAATTCTTTGCTCTTTGTTGTCTTATTCTTTTTTTTTTTTTTTGTAAATATTTTATTTATTTCTAGGAGAGAGAGAGAGACAGCATGAGCAGGGGAGGGTCCGAGAAAGAGGGAGTCACAGACTCTGAAACAGGCTCCAGGCTCCGAGCTGGCAGCCAGCACAGAGCCTGACACGGGGCTCGAACCCACAAACCGCGAGATCATGACCTAAGCGAAAGTAGGACACTTAACCAACTAAGCCACCCAGGCGCCCCTGTTGTCTTATTCTTAAGGCAACCTTCTGAGGCACCTCTGAGCTGGAGTTGTGCTATTAGAGCTTTATTGGTGAGAAGATCTATGTTGAGGATGATCGAGCGCCCAGAGCCTCTTTCTGTCGCATTGTACTGCCTGCCACTTTTAAAAGTAACAAGGTTTTACATTTTAAAATAATTTTAGTATTTGTTGCCAAAGGCAGACCGATTTCTCATTTTTATAAATATTTCTTCACACATTTTTAGAATACCTTTTAAAAGCCTTTCAAGGGGTCCCCCGGTGGCTCAGTCGGCTAAGCATCTGACTCTTGATTTCAGCTCAGGTTGTGATCTCATGATTCATGAGATGAAGCCCCATGTAGGACTCTGTGCTGACAGTGCAGGAGCCTGCTTGGGATTCTCTCCCTCTCTCTCTCTGCCCCTCTGCACCTCTCTTTCTTTCTCTCTCTCCCCAAATAAATACAACTTAAAAAACAAAGCCTTTCAAAAATAGCTTTTTATAATAAATTATAAAATATAGCCCTGGAGTATTTTTATTAGGATTGAGAGCCATACAGTCAGTATTGGAAACCGTAATTGAGCTTCTCTATGTACAAAGCACCATCTTAGCCACAAAGTGACTTCGTATGATGGAGAATCAGAAAAAGTTTGAAACAGAGTTGCAAATGTCATATTCTCCAGTGTCTGTTTTTAATTTGTAAAATGCTAATAATAATGCCCATTTCTTTTAAAAAAATTTTTTTAATGTCTATTTATTTTTGAAAGACAGAGAAGAGAGAGAGAGAGTGCACATGAGAGGGACAGAGAGAGAGGGAGATACAGAATCTGAAGCAGGCTCCAGGCTCTGAGCTGTCAGCACAGAGTCTGATGCAGGGCTTGAACCCACGAACCACGAGATCGTGACCTGAGCTGAAGTCGGACGCTTAACCGACTGAGCCACCCAGGCACCCCTAATAATGCCCATTTCACAGAGAGGTTAGAAGAATTAGGAAATGACAGGTTTAATAGGTGCTGAGGCACAGTACTTGACACACAGTTGGCACTCCATAAATGCTGCTTCTCTTCAGAGGCGCATTGAAAAGTAGGAAGTCAATCCTGCCTTCAATAAGCTTATAATGTAAAAATTATAAAGAGTGGCAGTCTGTCTGTTGGGACCATGTACTTTAATCCTATGCAAGTAGTTGGCCTCAAACGCCTATACTGTAGTCATCACTCACCTGGACCTAAGGGAAGAGGGGTCAGTGCGCCCTCAACCCTATCCCTCACTGGGACCTGTGTCTTACACTTGTGTGCAGTTTCTCTGCAGTGTGCCTCATCTAATAGTTACTTTGTGCAAAGAAAGTTGTAAAAGGTTTCATCAGAGAAGAGACATTCTTGTGTCTTGTGTAGCTTGCAAAATAAACACACATTTTATTGAAATGCTTATTTTAGAAGAGTTATTTGGGAAAATTTTTGTTGGGAGGAAAGAAGCTTGATAAAGGAGATAAAACAAAAAGAAGGTAGTCATTGTGAGTATCAGAAGTCAACCACCATTTAGCATTCATGTGATATTGGAAACAATTAAATGTAGCATGTTGTGATTTTTTTTTAAATGTTAAATGCAAAAGTGATGACACATTTTAAAACAGTGGTAAGCAAATTAAGAAATGAGTTGAAACAACATTTCTTGGCCTAAGTTTTGTGGTTCAACCTTAAATTTTCAGCTGGTGTTGATACTCTTCAACTTTTTCAGGCATTGGAGGTGATCCTTTTAATGGCACCGATTTTATTGACTGCCTTGAAATCTTTCTGAATGATCCAGCCACAGAAGGCATCATATTGATTGGTGAAATTGGCGGTAATGCAGAAGAAAATGCTGCAGAATTTTTGAAACAACATAATTCAGTAAGCTTGGGTTTGGGTTTGGAAAAATATAGCTCTCTGCACATAGTAGGCACTTTCTGAGCTAGTCGCTGCTGCGCTGCTGTTGAATCTTACTCTCCTGACTTTGCTTTTGCAGAGGTTGCTAATGGCCTTCATTCATCCTTCATCATCTCTAACCTCTTGGTTTTTCTCCTGGTTCTTCGCGTCTTAGTTTTCTGCTGGATTTACTTTCTGTGCCTATTCCTTCAGTGCGAATGGCTAGTGTATCTATACATCAGACTTCATGCAGTTTCCAAGGCAGAAGCCTCAAAAGCATCTTGTACTTCTCTCTCATCACTTGTTTCCACTCGGTTATTACCAGGATCTGTCCTCAGCAATATGTTGAGACTCAGAGCATCATCTCTTATCTCTCCCTCTGCTCTGCTTTGAGCTGCCATCTTCTCTCACCTGCACCGTGTCCATAGTTTCTTCCTGATAATCTCTACCCCTGTTCCTCAGCCAGCACCCCCTCCTTCTCTCCCAGGCCATCCTGCTCAGGGCTAGGGACAACAGGGACTGGTATGGTGGTGCCCAGCCCAGTCCCTTGGCACCCGAGGCACCAATAAGTGGTGGATGAGGAAAGAATAAAGTAGGTTGTTAGGAATTTGGGGTGAAATGGTTCTAGAGTGTCTTCAATTCAGATAAGTTGTAAAGTTTGAAATTTAAGGAAAAACTGACTTCTCTTTAGGAAAGAGTTAGGTTAATATGACATTATACTATGTCCAAGTGAATTTTAAAACATATTTAGCCCAACTCCGAATCCCTTGAATAGCTTAGAATTTAGTGCAAAAAGCTAAGCATATACATTATATTTCATTTCTTGTGTGTTTCCTATGTCTGGCTAGTACTTATGAGACTACTTTTTATTAAGGACCTACTATGTTCAAGACTCTGGGTTGAACAGGGGCACCTGGGTGGATCAGTTGGTTAGTCGTCTGACTTCGGCTCAGGTCATGATCTCATGGTTCATGTGTTCGAGCCCCAAGTCGGTCTCTGTGCTGATAGTCGGCTCAGCCTGGAGCCTGTTTCAGATTCTGTGTCTCCCTCTCTCTCTCTGACCCTCCCCTGTTCATGCTGTCTCTCTTTCTCTCTCTCTCTCTTACAAATAAATACAAAACATTAAAAAAAAAAAAAAAGACTCTGGGTTGAACAGATGATCTATAACACTTAGCACAGTACCTGGCACAGAGTGAGCATCAGTAATGTTACCTGCTGCCGCCATTACTGTGTTTATTATCATCATTACAGTGACAGTACTTATTGGTAAAAGTAGTGTTGTTTAATCTTAACCTTTGAGTAAGATGTTTTTTTCCTTTTATGAGTTAGGAAACTGCCATAGGGAGGTTAATAATTTGCCAGTGGTCGGTGTCCAACAAATCAGCTAAGGGTGGGATTCACCCCCCAGGTCTGCCTGATGTGACCGTATTCCATGGAGGGATCAGGAGTTGGACTGCAGGGATTAAGGGCAAGGGTCAGCAGCCCCGGGACTCTGCTCAAACTATACCAACACCATCCTGACTGGTCTTTCCGTTTTGGGGCTTTCACATTTCTCATCATTTATGTATCCTATTTGCAGACTACACTTCCTCATAGTCTTTTTAATTGTATTTTTCTCTTAAAAAATTTCAAGTGACTTTTATTTGTTCATAGGACAGAGTATAAATTTATCTGATATTCTAGGTTCATCAAAATCTTGTTTCTAGTGCAGTATTCTTGCTCTGTGAGTATGGGGACAGAGGGATCAAGTAGAAATTAGTGCCACTCAGGGGCACCTGGGTGACTCGGTCGGTTAAGCATCCAACTTTAGCTCAGGGCATGATCTCATGGTCTGTGAGTTGAGCCCTGCATTGGGCTCTGTGCTGACAGCTCAGAGCCTGGAGCCTGCTTTGGATTCTGTGTCTCCTTCTCTCTGTGCCCCTCCCCTGCTCATGCACTGTCTCTCTTTGTCTTTGCAAAATGAATAAACCTTAAAAAAGTTTTTTTTAAAGAAATTAGTGCCCCTCAAATATGAGATGCTCATATTTGAGCATGTGATGCAGAACCCACAAGCGAATGAATAATTGACCTGTAGACTCTTTTATTTTTAATTGTATACTATAGTAGATGCTGGGCAAACAGAGCTAAGGGAGAACATAGTTCCTGCATTCAGGGAGTTGGTAGTTTGGGAAGGGAACACACGAGAAGTCAACCACAGCCACTGTTACTTAGTGTAACAGTGTAGTGTAGAGACTTGTGAAAGGCACAGGAGGGTCCCAGAATAGAAGATGATCAACCACGAGGGCGTTTTGGAGACTGTCAGAGGAAGAGCCGGAAAGGCTCATGGGAGAAGAGGAGGCTTGAGCCAAGTATCAGCAGTTAAGTAGAAATTTGCCAGGTGTCCAGGGAGAGTGGAGAGCATTCTCTGCACAGGACCAGAGGCCAGGCAGCCTGGAATCCCTAGGAGGTAAAGAGCAGGGAGGAGAGGTGGGAGATGAGGCTGGAGCGAGCAGCGTCAGACCACGTGGGACCTGGCATGCTGGCCCCTTAGCGCCAGAAGCAGCTGTGCCAGTAATCATTCACCGCCACATACTAAAAACATAGTTAAAAAACAGAACAGAACTGATTTCAGTCAGGAATGTCCTTGAGGAAGCAGTGGAAATTATTAACTTTGTTAAATCCTGACCCATGAGTCAGTGGTTAGTGATGAAGTGGGAGGTGAAGCACCTTCCCAGTTGAGTTGTGAGCTAGCTGCTTTCTTCATGGAACACCAGTGCTACACTCAGAAACGCCTGCCAGATGCGCTGGCTCTGCACACGTGGGTATTTGGCAGACTTTTTCTCAGAAGTGAACAAAGTGAACCTGCAAGGAAGACAACTTGTAGTATTTGTCGAGAGTGATAAAACTTGAGCTTTCAAGTGAATATTCGTAGTTTGAAACAGTTGTGTCTGCTACCTTGAACGTGATGACTTCCTCTACTCAAGACTTTTCTAATGAGATTGATAATGATGAATATGGTTTGTTGATACTGAAGGATGAAATCAATCAGCCTTCAGAAAATGTACATAACTCATTGAACCTGTACTTTTCGTCTGACCAGTGAATGTTACAAAGTCATTATAGGTAAAAGATCCGTTCAAAGTATAAGACAGATCAATGGGATTTTAAAGTAACAAAGGACAGAAAGCTCATTGCCATGGTTTTGGATTCCAACATTGCAACTAACCTTTAAGAAATTACCACTTGAAGAGGTTTGTGTGATATGGAAGAAGAATATCTACAGTTATCTGACAGGGCTATTAAAATTCTTCCCCTTTTCCAACCACATATGTATGTGGGCCCAGATTTTCTTTTACTGCAGCCAAAATAACATATTGTAATAAATTGAATATGAAAGCAGATATCAGAATCCATTTGCCTTTTACTAAATTTGACGTTCAGGAATTGCAAAAATATAAAAATGATGCCACACTTCTTAGGAGAATGCTTTTAAAGAAAGTTTTTATTTTTAAGTGATATTTATATAATTTCTTAGTTTTAATTTTGAATACAGGAAATATAGATATAGTTTATATAAACAACAGTGTTTTGGGATTGTCAATTTTTGTGAGCGTAGGGGTTCTAAGACCGAACGGTTTGTGAACTGCTGGCCTAGGGGAAGATGACGGTGCCTGATGGAAGGCGCTGACTCCACTGCGTTCAAGTCCCGCCTTTGACAGGCCTGCCTGGATTCCTTATTGCCTCTGGACTCCTGTTATGAACAGGATATTTTCATTCACTGTGAAATTTAACCATATATTAAAAATAAGTTTTTTGGCGTCTTTTAACTAATTGATAACATTTTATGTTATTTCTTTAACTGTATTATAGGTCTAGAGAATTCCTGTGTGGATCTTTATTTTTAACCTCAGAATCTGGTACAGTGCTCTTTATGTACATAGAGGTTGCATAGTAGAATGGATTTTTATTAAATAAAACTAGTCCTGATCTTCCTTAGACTTTGTAGAATTTCAGAGGAGAAAGGGCCCTTGGCCACCATTCTGGTTTAGCTATTTCATTCCATAGATGAGGAATCAGAAGTTTAGAGAGCCGATGTCCCTTGTCCACGGTCAACCAGCTTTAGTTAATAGGAAATTGAGTCAGGTGACTTCTAGTTGTACATCTTTTCCGATCTACCTTCCCACCTCATCTTTTTTTTCTAGCAAACTTATTGTGGGTAAACTGATAATGAATTAAGACATAAAATCAGGTTGAAATGAAACAACCTGATCTAGTGTCTTAATTCACTGTTATCACAAATTGCATAACTTCTTTATTTTTGAGTGTGCTTTTGTTTTTCAAATGAAAGAATCATATATGTATTTGTAAAATAGCTTGTCAACTGTGAAGTTGAAGTTTAATATCTAAACAGACAAAAAACATAGGATTATCTTCCTGAGATTGTATGAAAAGTCGTGTCATCTCAGAAGAGAATGCTGGGGTTGCAATTACAGCTTAATGTTTGTGTCGCTTTTCTTAGTGAGGATGAGTGGCCAGCCCTGCCCAAGCCGTTTGCCATTTACTTTTCAAACTCAGGAATTTGAGTCCGGTTTTGGTCAACGTCTTCATTACAGTGTTTAAAATCTCACTTTCCAGGGTCCCAAGGCTAAGCCTGTGGTGTCCTTCATTGCTGGTTTAACCGCTCCTCCCGGCAGGAGAATGGGTCATGCAGGGGCAATTATTGCTGGAGGAAAAGGTGGAGCCAAAGAGAAGATCTCTGCCCTTCAGAGCGCAGGAGTTGTGGTCAGCATGTCCCCTGCACAGCTGGGAACCACCATCTATAAGGTGAGCCAAGACGGTGGCCTGAGCGCTCTGAAGTTACAGGCCTTCTGGCGTGCAGCCACACTGGGTGCCTGGAAGACGTGGCCCTTTCTTCTGGGTCTTATCATTGCTTTCTTTCTGATGACAGTTCCGTTAAGGTCCCAGTGTCCTAATTAGGCATGACCAGGAAAAACATTCTGATTTTTAAAAACTTAACTTCTTTAAACATTGAAATTTGTTCTTTTGTGAGGGGCAAAATATGATATACAAGAAAGTGTTTCAGAGTCCATAAGTGCCATGAATTCCCACTTGGGGGTAGTACAGGGGATTGCCTTGCATTTCCTTTTTCTCATTGAGGGCCTTTGGGGTATAGCCACCCTGATCTCCTAGGTTCCTGCTTCTAGGGAGACAGGTTGAAGGCTGTGTGACAAGAAATGAAAACTGGGTGAAGAGGGAGTCGATGGGGAGCAGGGAAGGGAGATCAAAAGAAGAGGGTGGCATTTCCAGAACTTGAGCACCTGGCCCTGGCTCTGCTGGGATGCCCGTTGTTTGCAGGTTGGAGGAGCGACCTCTTAACCATATGCTTTGCTTTTCTGTTTTAAATAGAGCATCGTGGTTTAAAGTGTTCTAAATGATTTGGTATCTTCCACAATCTCTTTGCAATGAGTTTTAGCCTCTTTAAGTGATCATTTAAGGCTCTCTTTCTCTTTGTTTTTATGATGGTTATAGCGTGGACAAAAAGCAAAGCAAAAACCAAACATCTTAAACATGTTGAGAACTGGCACAAATTTTATTCCCAGGAGGGAACCATCTTTTTCCTCAGTGTTTTCTGCCCTTGTCTTAGGGGTAATAAAGTGGACTCCTTGTTTTAGTGAATCTTTATGTGATCCTGTCTTTTGAAATAAGACACTGTGTGCCACAGTTCTGGGTGGTTAGTGAGTGTGTGAAGATGAAGTTTCCTTAGAGGGGGGAAAGCAAATCCTGACGTTCACTTTGGAGACTTGCATTACCACTTTGCTCCAGTAGGTGGCAGCAGGCAACTACACATCGGTTGTATTCTAATTATTATAGTCTAGAGGAATGTGATTTTCTGTACTGTGTCCTTTTCAGATATTTCTGAGGTGCACTTGACATTCTGTTCAAACCTTAACTGAATATGCATTTAGTCTCTTTCTCAGAGAAACTGAGCAAACTTGTTTCCGTTGCCTTATTAAAAAGGCCAGTGTGGTTCATATATGCTATTAAAGGTTTGCATAAGTAGTTGAATTTGTCAACTCTTAATAATATTACTGCAGTAGAAAAATAAGTACAGTTCAAAGCCACTCAGCCTCTGTGTTTGGGAGACGTAAAGTTGAGGCTCTGCATCTAGTTCAGTGAAATTCAGGCTAATTTGAAAGCTGTTACATTGTGTTCAAGCACCCTCATCCTGCTACATTTCACTTCTGTAATTTTTGGTTGTTCAAGGGATCCTAAAGATAAAAGGTTTCAGAAGCACTTTGACCATGAATGTGATTTGAATCTTAAATCTTTTTATCCCCTCTCTCTTCTGTGTCTGTTTCTGAAGGAATTTGAAAAAAGGAAGATGCTATGAAAGAAAAAACAAGAAGTTCCCTAAACCTATGGAGTGAATCACCATGAAAATGTGCACCAGTGGCTGTTTGCTTCTGTTGTCCCCTGATTGTCAACCTGTGCGCCTGTCACTGGTCTGTCAGTATATCAGGAAGCCCGAGCAAGGTTCAGAATGTCCTAGATTGAGATGTTTCCATCGCATCGTATCACAGACAGCCAATAAAAGTACCATATGATTTGAGTATGGTTTTGGAGCTTTTTATTGTTCCAATGAGGGAAAGTGAGAGAAGGGGAGGTGTGTGTGTAGGGGTGTTGTACGTGTTTTAATGGGGTCTTCGGAGAACACCGTAACAAACTTTTGAGAGAATGAGGCTGTAAAAATTTCAGTACGGCATTTGTCTAATTGTCTTAGACCCAGAGTGGCTTTAGTTCTCTTTCGAACCCTAGTTTTCTTATGTGTATAGATAGTAGTACTATCTTGCAGGACAGTTTTGAGGACTAGGGCATGTAAAAAGGCAACTTAATTGTTGTCAGTACCATCATCCTCGTCATCGGGATCACAGGCAGAAGCCCATCTTTGTTTCCACCTGAGAAGTGGAGGGTCTTCAGTAATGCTGTGTTTTCCCGTGGTTCTGCGGAGGGCTCTCCCCTTCCCCATCCAGAGCCTCCTTCCCTTTGCTTGCAATTTAAGACACGTGCTGCGAGGAACCAGGACAGTGCTTAGCCATCCTATACTCTTGTTTAAAGGGGAGCTTGTTAATAAGGAGCAATTCCAGTGGATATTCTCAAATTGTGGCACTGCCCTGAAAGAAAACAAGAGCCTCAAAAATAATATTAGGGAGAAGCCCCTGCAGAAAGACTGTGGGGAGGCCATCCTGGGGAGGGGCTCTGAGTTGAGACCTGGAGGCTGAGAAGGCCCAGCGCCCAGGCAAAGGCAGGGAGAGGGGAAGAGCTCACCTGGAGGAGGTGAAGGAACACTGGGTCTTTGGGGGCAGTGAGCCCTGGGATGGGCTGGAGGAGGTTTTGGGGGGCTGGGGAGACAGGTGCTTCTGGAGCCCCCGTGACCATGCCCAGACTGCTGAGGGCACAAAGAGTAGGATTTTTTTTTTCTTAAGCTCATTGTCTCGGCACTTTGAAGAATGAAGAGGTGGACACAGAATGAGCAGCAGGCAAAAGTTGATTAGAGCATAAGATTAGAAAGTAGGAACATTATAAAAACTCTCTGCAGAGAGGGGGCTTTCGAAACTGAATGCCTACGACTATAGGCAAAGGTCCTTGTTTTATAAGGTTCTGGTTGGCGCCCCCTCCCCTTCCCCCTTGTTCCTTCTCAGGCTCTGCCCTCATTGGCTGGACAGCTCTAGGTGCTGGGTTGTCCATTCCCGATTGGCTCGATTCCATTGTGAGGAGTCTGACTATGGTCATACTGTCCCTCAGATAACATAAGTTTTATGGTTTACTTATTTAGTTAGGTATCTTGATTGTCAAATTTCTGAGGGGAACCTGAGGGGGAGTAGATGGGGTCTGTTACATTCTTGACAGGAGCCTTACGCCTGAGGGGGTTTGCTGTGGTCAAGTCCTCCCTCCCAGCATTGTTCCAAAATAGGTGTTTTTCCCCACCCAGGAACTTCAGGTCCTAACCTTTCTCTCTCAACTTATTTTATATTTTTCTCTATCCTAGATGTAGGAGAGCGGTCAGCAGTTTATTGCATTCATGCCACCAAGGGATGATGGTTTCTCGGGCCAGAATGGTGGCAGGGGAGAGAGAGGAGGGTGTATGTTCAGGTTGGAGAGATCTGTAAGGAATGAACTGGACTGTACCTGGTAAGTCCAGGACTTAGGGCTTAAGGATGAGAGGTGAGATAGCCCATCAGCTTGCAGCTTGAGCAGCAAGACAGCTGAGGCCCTGGCTTGATAGAAAAGGAGGAAACTCGAGATGGAGTGTTGAACTTGACGTTTCCTCCAGGTGACCATGCCAAGTAAGCCACGGCAAATGCAAGTCTGGTTTGTCTTTGTCCACGAGTCTCAGAAGCTACAGGCACAATTACGGCGTCTAGGGGGAGAGAAGCAAAGGCCTGGGCTGTGCCATCTGGAGGTCAGAGACCGAGACGGAGCTCAAACCTACCAGCTACACTAAGAATGGTACAGCATGCCTTCTAGAGGGCACGGTCATGACCTGGAGGTCCTTTTTGGTGCTAAACCCTCCTGTTCAGAGTGGCATCTCTGTGATCATCCCATGAGAACAGTCCTTCATTTCACACATCTTTGTGAGAATTTGGTGCCAAATTTCCTTGAGAAACTGTGGATGGCCAATGCCACTTATGGCATATAAGGGGGCACCAAGGAGGGCCATATTATCCAGAGCTGTACTTTGAAGAACAGAAACATTTTCTGTGGAGCTATGAGGATTTACCAGGTTTTGCCTTTTTTCAAAGTAGCATTCATCTTAAATGTATATTTGAATTGCAATGCCTAGGCTGGGAAGTAGGGAGGTGAGGGAGCAGGACCTTACAGGGAATTTGGAAAATGGTGAGAAATCAGTACTGATATAGCAGAAATCAGCTGGGACTTCTATTTTTGTTTTTTGTTTTTTTTTCCAAGAGAAACCTGAGAAATAAATGGACAATAAGATCAACTGGAAATGATCGCCATTTATGACCCCAGATCCCTTGGTGAATCCAATGAATGCTATGGAGTCTGCCCAGAAATACATACCCTCACATCCCCTGGGCTCCATGTTAGATCCCTAGACTTAAACTCTTCCCTGAGGCATTTGTATGTTAATATAAAGCTCTTGGAAAGGGAACATTACAAGGAAATGACAGAGTTCATTGTCCCCTTCCTCCTTGAAGCCATTCTATCCTATTCAAGCAGCTCATACCTGCTAGCTAGAAAGATGAGCACTAACAAGCCCCTGGGCAGCCCTTTTGCTTGTTTCTGACCTGGTGGGTTCAGTTGGTCCAGTATTCTCGGGGTTCTGACCTCCTGGCCCTGCATTTCCTACATTGGCTCCTGGGTTTGTTCCTGGACTGGGCGTTAGAAGCTGTTGTCTCATGTATTTGGACTTTGGTTCCCCTCAGTGGATTTTGGCTTGGATATCTCTTTGGCTTTTAGCACTCCATACCCTGGGTTGTCCCTGAGGCAGCTGGCAGATGGCACACTCCAAAGTGAAGCACCCGGGATCCGGAAGAGTGAGAAGCCGTTACCACCTTTATGCCTGAACAAGCAAGAGAGGAAGCTGTTTTCCCAAGGTGAGACCAGGAGCTGTGTGACAGGGTCCGGGCAGGTGCTGCGGCCCTGAGGAGAGGATCCCAACCACTGCCCAAGTCAAGACCTGACATGGTGGAGGTGAGGGGAATGGATGCCCTGATCTCACACCCCTCCTGTCCTCTGATCTCCCGCCAGTATGAGAACTGGCTGGACCCACCTGGAAGGCAGAGGTAGGCAAGCCCAGATGATGCCATGCACAGTACCGCCTCTGGGGGTGCACAGAGCAGGACTTAACAGGGCAGAGAAGGGTGGAGAAAGGATCCAGAGGGACACCTGGAAAAATCACAATTTCACCCACCCTGACTTCACACTTGAACAAAACCCCGGCCAGGGCAGCACCAATCCCTTTGGGGAAGAAACGGGTGGAACCAGATACCAGGTACTGTGGCAGACCAGCATGGGCACATTTAGGGCAATGCCTGACATCCCCAGGGAAATCTTGAGTGGAGTTTTGCATTTTACTCTATACTAAATAGTATTCCGGTGGGGGTGGGGGTGGGGGGATAGTTAATTGTTTGTGTGCTCTCTGAGCTGTTGAAAGATAAAAGGACATTAGGTTTTGTGCATGTTCCATGAGACAAGTGAGGCTGGATTTAGGATGTTCAAAGAGGTGAGGTTGTAGCTGCAGAAGAACATCTTGGGGCCTAGGAGGGGAAGGGCCTGGAATCCAGGAGGGGAGAGGTCAGAAAGCTGGGCCAATGCAGTGTTTTCAGAGAGCCCAGGACTCATGCTCTGTAGTTTCCCAGAATCTGGAGCAACTGTGCGGTTGTGAATTCCTTGGTACCGGGCTGCTCTCTGGCTGGCCTTTCACATCTGTTCTCTGGAAGTTACCTGGCATCAGGCATTTGGCCCGGAGAACAGCAGGCAGACCAGGACTTGTACCTGAGACTCATAGACAAGTGGCACTGGCCAGGGAAGAATTCTCTTTACATGGGTTGCAGACAGTTTGTCTTTGTCCCTTGTCTCCTGGGTGACATAGAGCTGCTGTAACAGAAAAGATCTGAAAAATACTGACCTAGCCTCATTTTGCTGGTGGGAGGGCTCATTCACGAGGTTGGGTCTAACATTACAACCAAGTTGGTGGCAAGATTGAAACTTGAAATTTGAAACTGGTGCCCCTCCTGACTCCTGGCCTGGCCTGTGCCTCACTAGAAGGGCATGAGGAGGGCATCAGAGCCAGCCAGCACAAAGCAGGTAGCGGGGATAGGAAGTGCTTAGAATAGACAGCATTTTCAGGGAATTTGAACATACAGAAATAGTTATTCAAGTAGTGTGAATATGCTGTGGCCCACCTTCCTTGAGTTTTATATATTCTTTTTTTTTCAAAGTTCATTTTCATTTATTCTGAGAGAGAAAAAGAAAGAGAGAGAGAGAGAGAGCAAGCATGGGAGGGGCAGAGAGAGGGAGACAGAATCTCAAGCAGGCTCTGTGCTCAGTCAGTGCGGAGCCTCTGTGGGGCTCGAACTCACGAACTGAGAGATCATGACCTAAGCCGAAGTCAAAAGTCATGCTTAACCAACTGAGCCACCCAGGTGCCTCTTGAGTTTTATATATTTTACAAGTGGGTTAGGTTCACCGTGGCAGGGGTCAGGACTAGACAGTGGTCTATGGCCATCAGATGGAGTAAAGCTGGCAAACTGGACAGGAGTGAGACCCTTGTTTTTAGCTTCAGCATCACAGAGCTAGACTCTTCTCACTAATGAGCTGACCACTGACAGTTGGGATGCATGATTCAAGGTGGAGTTGGCAGCTTTAGGATAAGCCACCGGAAAAGGGAACAGCAATTCCTTATCAAGAATTCCATCAGAGTTCTGTGGGACAGGGTGTCTGGTGTCAGCTCTGTCAGATTTGGAATCAAGATTAGAAATGGCTCAAGATCAAAAGCTTGGTAAAGTATGCTGTAATCCAGGGGAATGTTGAGCTGAAGAAGTGAAGGTCGGCGCTGATGGCTTTATTCAAATAAAGTTCTATCTT